TCACACATCACAGACAGAATGTAAAATCCAGATGTCGGACGATGGCTCAGGGCCACGCGCAGGCCGGCAGTAATCGACGAAGTCAGTTAAATAAAAAATTAATGTTAAATATGAAAGAGAAAACTCTCACTTCATTATGGATGTGCGGGTGGAGCAATAGATAGCGGCATGGAATGAGAATTTAGAGAGCCGATTTCTAATTACAGCCGGGTTTGTTAAATTCACTCACGTGCAAAAACCCTTGGTGTAAGGTATGAATCCATCTCTGCTCTCCTCTCCCCAGATATGGGTTATATAGCAGGACTTGTATCTGGAAAATTATTGCTATTCTCAAAAGAAATTTGATGCGAAGTTCACTCGCCAAAAAAACAAAATAACAAAAAACAAAAAAACTTACAATGTAAAAAGTTTTTTCGTTAAATAAACTACAAAGTGTTAATAAGCCTTGATAAAACAAACCTCAACTCAACCCACTTCATTCTAAATCATTAACCACATCGCTACACTTACAAACCTAGAGCAGCTATAGATGATTTTTATTTTAGAGATGATTATTTTGCTAGTGATTCTCTTTTGGCACAAAAATGGAAGCGAAAATGGACATTTTAGCTTCAGGCGCATTTTTCTAACAATAAAACGAAGCCAACGAACTCGTTATTGTCTTTCTGACGTTCTCTTTTATGCAAATTTATTCCCACGCGATGAAAGAGACAAAGAAAGAATCATCTGACTCTGACTGAGCGACGAATCATTTTTTACGAAGGCAGGATGGCCTTATACAGGACTAGAGATATTTTAAATTATTACATTTAAGAAATCACTGATTTTTGTTGAGTTAACTTCGTGAACATAGGCCGGATTTACCTTCGTCGGAGTTTTGTGTTATCTGAACCTCTCTGATTAAGAGTTTGTGATTTCTTATATACAGATGAGCTATCCACCCCCAACCCCAAAGCCGGGAATAATTAGATAAGTTAAATAACTTTAGGTTATCACCAGCGTGTTATAATAATCTATATCGGAATTTTTTAGAGAATAAATTATTATTATTATATTTCCTTTGATTTCCGTTCTATACTCATTTCTTTCCGGGTCCCAACCAGAGACCTAAAGTCAGAAATAGCATCATGACATTCTTCCACTAAGTAAAAAAAAAAAAAAAAAAAAAAAAAATCACATATATTTTACATAGATAAAGTCCTTCGTAAAATGTTTTCTGTACACGTGAGAACAATATTATGTATTTCTTTAAGGCATGGGTTACCAGGAATCCCTTCAGTGAGTCTATTGGAATATTTTCCAATCAATCCGTGGGCTCCAACTATAACAGGGGATTGTTGATGTTCTCATGTACCACATTTTTGATATTATTATTATTATTATTATTATTATTATTATATACAGGGTATGTTCATTTTGGTTGATATATTTACAGTGCTTCGGCCGTTGTACCCTCTGGCCTTTTTTCAGACGTCTTTTGCATTCGGTACGCTGCTCGAAAGATTATAAAGGGTGTTCCAATAACTTGGACCGATTTTAAATGTGAATAAAGTTTAAGCGTCTAATGATTTTTTTCTTTTTCTTTCATATTTGTAGAATATTTGGGCGATATTATTTTTCACACATAATTGCCATGACTTAAATAACATGATCCAACAGTGAAATAAATAAATTTTCACAAATAACACTGATTTATTTAATGCTGACATTAATCCGTCTTAATGAAACACTCTTATATATAATCCGTTTTAATGAAATACTATTTATATTTTTGCAGGACATAACATTCCCTGGCAAAACGTTCGTTAAAGCATATTTGGCTTCCTGGTAATCGTGAGTTCAATTCCTTGGTCGGGTAGTGCGGAAAATAAACGGGTAAGCGATACAAAGACAATCAGAGCAGCAAAAAGAAAAAAAAAAGAGAGATACTTTAGAACGTTTCTATCGGTAAGGCTGTTTACATATCAGAGTTCTAATTTGCTTTTTATCTACAATGAAACAATATCTACACCGTACAAATTTTATTTTGAAATATCTACATAGTAAAACATACACACACACACACACACACACACACACACACACACACATATATATATATATATATATATATACACACACACACACACACACACACACACATATATATATATATATATATATATATATATATATATATATATATATATATATATAAAAAAAAATGAAGTTAAAATATTAAATGTCTTTCTTTTATTTATATTCTATCGATAAACAGCATGTACATTGACTAAAAATAGTAAATAGATCGCATACCAAAGTAGATTTATGACATTTAGATACCAAGCCAAAGTAGCACACATTTGAGTATATTTCTATTTTGTTTATATTTATTTAGTTTGAGTACATGATGATTTAATTTATGTAAGATCCCTCTATGTCTGCTACTGGTATCAAGCAACCCAATACAATCTGCCACATTGTCTAGTCTGTTAACTAAACCGGTTCCCTCACCAAACTTTCTCTGTTGAGGAAAGCAAAACATTTTGAACCTTCTTGTACAGGTATATTCAACACTTCGCTAAAAAAAGAGCAGACCCTGATCAAAAAAGGCCCCAAACTTGACTAAACAATTTTTATCGTCTAAATGTTTATGTTATTATGAAGAGGAAAGACCAAAATATTATTTGAGTATTTTTTAATCCTTTCTATCACGTGCAAAATTTTAATTTAAAAATATTGTTTTTTTAGTCAACAAAATTTACATAAAATCGATCATGTCAGCCACTTTAATAACTTAGTAAACAAATGTGAAATTCTCCGTTTAAAAATCTTGTAAAATTCAATTACACTTTTTTCAAAATTATTTTAGGAAAATTAAAAAATTTAAAGTATACTTAATGTAATTGCAAACAAACATTACTTAATTTAAAAAAAAAAGTTGGAAATAAGAGAAGCATGTCTAACCGTGGTAATTGGTTTTGGAGGTGTGAATTGAGGTTTACATCAAAATATCGACAACTAACGTCAGGGCAATTTATCGAACGGAAGTGCAGAAGTGGCAGTATTTTCGAATTTTGAGTGAACTAGCTTATTTAACTATAAAGTAATTCTTAAAAATTAAATACTTTCAAAAGTTTGATATTTTATTGATTACTTTAGGTACATTTTTTAACAAAGCCAGCACTGTTTTTGTCCCCAAATTGAATCTGAACAAGAAAAATTAATAATTGCAGTATATCTCCCACTGAAAAAAAAAAAAAATGATTATATCTAAAAAATGAAAAGAAAATATTTAGTGAAATATGTAGCAAAAAAAAGAAAATGAAAAATTTTGAAAATGCGACGATGATGGTCGGTCAGTCAAAGAATTTGACACAAAATCAACGCAATTTATAAGGCCGGATCCTCGCTATCAGGAGAAAAGAACTCTTTAAATCCGGGACATTATTTTGAATTGTGCCTCCGTAGTTTTGTCGGAAACGTTTTTAATACATTTTTGGCATATTAAAAAGTATTGGAAAAATAGAAACGCGTCGTAGATTGTAATAAGCTTTAAATTTAAGATTTGTAAAAAATAGATCTTTTTAATAAGAGCATTTCCAGAGATACATATTCAAACTTAGTTTTAAAATATTTAACAACTTATCACATTTTGTATTTAAAATTGAAAAAAAAAGAAGAAAATTCTTGTAAAAATTCATTTTACATCAAAAATATATTTGACTTCGGACAATAGTATCCTTAATATATATTATTCATAAAAGCCATTAAAAGCTTTTATAATTAAATAATGTCTTAGTTTTATTGGGGTTTATATTTCGCAATTCAGAGCTAAAGTTTGGATAGAAACGAACCTTGATTTACAAAAAAATCGATGATTTATATTCTTCAAAGTCTTCTGCATTTAATTAAAAAATTACAAAAGTATATATATTCGAGTTTTTGAATTTTCATAAAATTAAGTAAGGAGTGGGTAACAGATGTAAAAAAAACATTTTTACCATAACTTTCTAAAAACAAATACTTCTCAAATAAATTTATTCATTTTTGAATAAGTTCTGAAAGTTTCATTAAAATCCGACAATTATTTAATTTTTGCAAGAATTTCCAAATTAATGTGTTTTTCAACTGAAAAAGCGCTAAAAAATCTAATGCTAAATATTACGCGACCGCTGACGTAAAAAAATAAGATTTTCAACAAAAATTTCAAATATGCTAGAAAGGAATAAAAAAAATTTAAAAAATACTTTAGTCTCTCTTCTTATTAATGACAAACTTTTTCACAATCAAACTTTGTTTTTATTAAGTTCGGGGCCTTTTTTCATCATGCTATGCTGTTTTTTCGGCGAATTATTGAATATGCTTATTCTTGTAAGAGTTAACGACCATCTAGCACAACAGCATACATTGCGCTCCATAGCCAACTATGAAGCCAGAGCGGTGGTGACACGGCATCGATGGGTGGAGGGGCTTCCTATACTGAAGTCAATGGCTAGGGCGGAGGTTTCCCCGATAGAATCAACGGCCACGTGTACGTGACCAATGCGAACTTTCATATTGTCTGTGATTTGACCTGGAGTGGTAAGGTCTCCTCCAGCTCTACTTTCTTTCCAAGACATGCTGTTCATAAAAGAATAGCTTTCCGGCTTTCAACCCAGATATGTGGAGGGAACTGGTCAGGTGCTCACCGACCCTACGACCACGTCAGGTTATGGGATTGATGCTGATGATAATAATGATTTAATAACATTCACGTAGCAAATTTGCTTCACCGTGTTGCAATTTTTAACAAACTGACCCCAGAAATCATTGCTACAGAATGAAACGTTTGATTCTCCCTAGTTGCCTCATGTAAATTTAATTTAAGAAAATATGTACTCGATGATTTAATAAAATTTACGCTTTAAGTTCTCTTCATTGTTAATAGTGTCGTGAGTTCGATCCTCAATAGATCTTCTATACTTGTGGCTTTACAACAGGTCTTCGTTTAGTAAGTCATATCAAAGCAATTTCTAATTTCATATGAGAAAGAAAGAAAGAAAGAAAGAAAGAATGAAATAGGCAAAGGAGGATAGGAACAAAGAGGGAAGAGGGAGTGAAAAAGTGTGTGTGTGTGTGTGTGAGAGAGAGAGAAAGAGAGAGAGAGACACAGAGACAGAGAGAGAGAGAGAAATATGGAGTTGGCTCTTTAAACAGCGTCACGAATATTGTATTGGGTATATTTCTTTTAAAAACGCCCGCACACTGATCTTGACCTTTTGCTAATAGACAATAACAGAAAACATTAGAGTTCACGAATTCATGAGTGCGTTTGCGCGTGTGTCTGTGTGTGAACGTATACCTATATATGTGTGAGTGTGTAGGTTTGTGTTTGAAAGAAAAGGTGAGAAAATGCAGTTTGGCAATTTGTCTGTGAGATTCGTCTAGATATACATATTCTGAATAAGTAAGATAGGCTTGTTATGCAAATAAGAATACAATTTCGCGGGAAGAGATCTATTTTAGCTGACAATGGAGAATTGCACCACATTTTCATAACATTTTCATACATTGGACACTTAAATTGAAATAAATATCTATATATATATATATATATATATATATATATATATATATATATATATATATATTTTACATCGCGACGCGGAAATTTCTATGTTTCGGAATTTTAAATTTGTTCCATTATCAAGCGATCTAAGGTAACTTTTGATGAAAATGATTTACTATTTCAAAATTTTATGGGTATGACCTGTTTGACCAATCAAAATACAGGTCAAAGCAAACTCTTCTAACTTTTATTTGGATATATACATCGCTCTGTCTAGCAGAAAGCCACTAGTATGAACGACCCTGCAAGAAACGAAACCCAGGATATTCATTTATTAATCTGCGAGCCGAGATTGAAAGCCACCATTCTACGACATGTGACTCACAAAAATATCTTATAAGTTTCATCGGGCACAAAGCCACATTTATGAGGAACCCAGTGAAGTTCCAACTCCCTACACGGACGAAATGTTATATTACCTGAACTGATGTAGATGATATTTTTATTAATTATTTTTAAAATCAGGAAAAAATATTTTAAGCTTTTTCCCGTGTTCATTAAGATACACAGGTGGGGTAATAGTTAGCGGATCGGAACAAATATTCAGCAAAGCGAGTTCGAATATAAGCCATTCGTTATATTCATTTAGTGCAACGCTGACTGTTCTTTCATGTGCTTCTACTATAAACTCTGTCAGCTATCTCTTTTTCTTTTACTGAGCTCCCTCTTCCCAGGACTGCAGTAAATTAGACTCAATAGCTGACAGTATAGAAAAGGTATTTCTCGCCATCCATCTGCGAACATATTTGTCTTCGGTGACTTTCTAAAGGTACTGATGTTGCCAGTATACAGACATTAAATTTTTTCATTTCCAATCCCTCATTCAAATCCTAGTGATTTCCCTAGCCAAACGGAGCAAGAGGCTTCTCTACTGGATCTATTTCTTATCTCCTCTTGCCGAGCTTCGCCATACTGCCCTCTAGGTAACTCGGACCACTCTGTGGTATCTATTGATATTTCGTTTCAAGCATCCATTAAACAGGAACTCATTCTGAGATTTTCTTCGTGGTGCCCCGTGGATTGACATATTTAAACTCCCAATTGAAAATTGCGCCTCTAAGGTTTCTTATTGGGTCAAAGCCGGCATGGACGCTTTCATCCTTTCTCGGAAATACCAAGTGAAACCGCAATTCTCTCCATGATTCGCACTAGCATGTTTGGCCGTCATAGCACAAAGGAACCAATAGTTTCCGCTCTCGTCATAACAGGGGAATATTTGATAAATGTAAGCGAGTTCTCGAAGGAGCTAAGTCTCTCTTTGCTGAGACAATAAGGTAACGCATGGCCTCTAAAAACTTCGGCTCTCGTGATTACTGGTGTCTCTGTAATAGGGAACTAAATAAGTGAAAGGCCACTATTCAACCCTCATCAACCAATTTGAGATGTTATTATCCTCTGCTGATAAAGCTGAATTCTTTGCCCGTAAATTATCCTCAAACTCTACTCTTGACTCATTTGAAGTATCCCTGTCTAACGTCTCACTCAGAACTGGATCTCTGTTGAGTGATATGCATATAACCCATCCCATGGTCTTTGCTATCATCTTTAAGCTTGATCCTCACAAAGCATGTGGACACGATGGTACCCCTACCTTGTAATAGTCATTAAGAAGTGTGCCCCCGAACTGATTCCGGCTCTGTAACCTGTATAATAAATGCCTCGCTACTTCCTTATTTTCTTCTTGCTGGAAGTCATCGTCTGTTGTTCTAGTTTTTAAGAACTCTGGTGAACCATCCGACCCTTCCACCTATCGGCCAATTTTTGGGAAACTCCTAGAGACCCTAATCAATGCTGAATTGGCTCATCATCTCTCATAGCAGGGCCTTTTCTCAGGCAAGCAATACGGCTTTCGTTTCTCCAGGTCAACTGCTGATGTACTGAGGATAATTGCGGAAAGAGTCTATCATCCTCTGGATAAAAACGGTAAAACCCTGGTTGTAGCATTGGACATCTCGAAAGCCTTTGTCCGGTTCTGGCATTTAGGTAAAACTGAAAAGTTTCAGTATCTCCGGGAACATTTTTGAGTTGATCCAATCTTTCCTGTCAAATCGTGAAATGAAAGTTATACTGAACGACCACTCGTCTAGATCCTTTCGTACTAAAGCAAATGTCCCAAAGGGCTCCATCTTTGGTCCTACGCTGTTTTTAATTTTCATTAACGACCTTCCCGATGACATCAGCTCTCAAATTGGTATCTACGCTGACGACACTATCACTTACTCTTGCCTCGATAGTAAGGCTGATGAGGCAGACAAGATCAAAATAACAGTTGATGTACACAATGACGCCAAGACAATCGTTAACTGGGGCAAAGTATGGCTTGTCAATTTTAACGCTTCCAAAACTAAACTTCTCATCATTAATCATCTGTGAGAGCCCTTTCTACCTTCCATCAGTATGCCTGATGCTAACCTACAGGAAAGTGACTCGTTGCGGAATGAAGTGGAAAGATTATATTGAATCCATTGCTAGGTCAGCTGCTAAAAAAAGTCAGTTCACTGTGCCGGGTGAGACAATATTTTCTCTCTGGAGACTATCTTGCATGTCATTCGTCCATGCTTAGAATATTGCTGCCATATATGGTCCGGTGCCCCTGTATTTACCTGGAGCTCCTTGATAAGATTCAAAGAAGAATCAGTAATATTATTGGTTCTGATCCGGTGGCTCGGCTTCTGTCACTTTTCCCACCGCCGTAAGTTTGCCCATCTGTGCCATTTTTCTACAAATACATTCATGGTAATTGTTCAGATGAGTTCTTTGGTATGGTACCTAGACTGTATGATTTTAAGCGCAATACTAGACTGGCAGCGAGATAGATGTAGCCGTAACTTCTATGTTAACAGTTTCTTTTCTCGCACTTCTCGCTTGTGGAACTCCCTTCCGGCTCCATGCTTTCCAGCCAACTTTAATCTGTAAAGATTTAAATGCAATATCAATCGCTATCTACTATCCTCCTGATTACTCTTTTCTCTTTCTACTCATTACTAATGTTTCTGTTCCTAATTCCATATCCTGTAACCGCTTGAGTTTTAATGTCTGTACTGCCTTGCTTGAGGTGATATCGATTAAAAAAAAACCTTCTAAGCTTAGATTTATCGGTCACAAAGCCACACCTATAGAGGACCCAGAGAAGATCCAACTCACTACACGGAAGAAATGGTATATTACATGAACTCCAGTAGGCGACGTTTTTATTAATCAATTTTAAATCAGTAAAAAAACAGGATTTCGAATGCTGATATTCAAAGCTTCAAACATTGGCGCTGTATAATCTTCTTAAATCCTGTTTCTACTTAATTCGGCCTTTTGCTGTACTAAGCAAAGCTTCGTAAATGTCAATAGCTATCCAAGTGTAAGAATTGTGTGAAATCTGAAAATTTAAATTAATTACTTAAATTTGAATTAATTACGTTTATGATTAATTCAACGTTTTTTTTTTTTACGGAACTACGAGTTTTCTTGGGTGAAGCACAGCACCTCCTGGTGGGAAGTTACAGAGTGCATAAGAAAGGCAATTAAAATGTCTGCGGTCGTTGCAGACGAAACTGGCTGGTTCAGTAATTATGGTGGAGGCATCGGCATCGGAGAAATGGGGTTGGTAAGGGTATTACATTAAGAAATGCATAGGCAGAGTTATAGGAGTTGTGCCGTATAATATACGATTGGGCAGAATTTGGGTGCAGCTAATGTCGAAATCTCTTCAAATATATATTTGTGTTATATCATGAACCTAGTTTTGTTTATGACTTGTGAAATCTAATGTAAATGTATTATCAGAAAAGGAATGAATTCATGAGCGTGAATATAAACTAACGGGATAAAAGAGAATTAACCGACAATATTTAAAAGTAGATAGATAGATAGATAGATAGATAGATAGATTTGGATAGATAGATAGATTTGGATAGATAGACAGACAGACAGACAGATAGATAGATAGATAGATAGATAGATAGATAGATAGATAGATAGATATACACGGGCTGAGATAGATAGATAGATAGATAGATAGATAGATAGATAGATAGATAGATAGATAGATAGATATAAACGGGCTGAGATAGATATCTCGATAGATAGATAGAAAGGAACAAAGAGATTGTGATAGATAGATAGATAGATAGATAGATAGATAGATAGATAGATAGATTTGGATAGATAGATTTGGATAGATAGACAGACAGATAGATAGATAGATAGATAGATAGATAGATAGATAGATAGATAGATAGATAGATATGAATAGATTGAGATAGATAATAGATAATGAACAAACTGAAATAGATAACTCGATGGATAGATAGACAGATATAGATATGAATAGATTGCATACACATACATACATACATATATATATATATATATATATATATATATATATATATATATATATATATATGAACAGATTGAGATAGACAAATATGAATAGATTGAGACAAATAAATATGAACAGACATATATATATATATATATATATATATATATATATATAGATATAGATAGATAGATAGATATGAGCAGATAGGCAGATATGATAGATAGATATGAATATGCTGATATATATATATATGATGATATATATATATATATATATATATATATATATATATATATGAATATATAGATAGATAGATAGATAGATAGATAGATAGATAGATAGATAGATATGAATATACTGAGATAGATATGAACAGTTTGAGATAGATAGATAGATAGATAGATAGATAGATAGATAGATAGATAGATAGATAGATATGAATATACTGAGATAGATATGAACAGTTTGAGATAGATAGATAGATAGATAGATAGATAGATAGATAGATAGAGAGAATAATCGAGAGAGAAAGAAAAACACGGGATGCGTTATAAAGGTGAATACAAGCAGAGGGATCTCTCTCAAGTTTGGCGCCACATGCTATAATGAGAATGGCTAAATGATTCGTTTAATATGGAGGGCTTTAAATCGGATATTAAGGTAAGAACTGTAAAACAGCTATTAAAAGTTGTTGTGGCTAAATCATATATTAAATTTTAAAGATTCCTGATTATATATTTTTTATTTGTTTCTCTCCTAAAATGGATATTTGTTAGATTGAATATTCTACAGAGCAAGAAAACCACAAAAAAGCGAGAAGAAAGAATTAAACATCAGATGCAAGAAGATAGAAATGAAGCGTCCTAGGTAAGACGATAAACTACATCCAACAGCAAGGCCTCTGATAAGGAGGTTTTGAGGTCCACCCTGGCCTGAAGTGGTAGTACCGGTTAGGGTCTCAACTATGGGCAAATGGTTAACCCACAAACTTGGTTCAAAACGCTATGAAATTTTAAAAATAGATTTTAATACCATCAATACATTTTTGTAAAAAATTATTACCAGCAATGAATTTTTGAAGAAAAAATTATTATCAGCAATGAATTTTTGAAGAAAAAATTATTATCAGCAATGAATTTTTGAAGAAAAAAATTAATACCAGAGATGAATTTTTGAAGAAATTACCAGCAATACATTTTTGAAGGAAAAAAGTTTACCAGCGGTACATTTTTGAAGAACAAAAAGATATTATCAGCAATACATTTTTGGAAAAAAAATATTAGCAGCAATACATTTTTGAAAAAAAATATTGCCAGCAATAAAAATCTTATCGGCATTAAATGATCCATTGAGGTTGATATACCGTAAAAGAAAACAAACCAAATCAAACCCAAATGCAAATTGCAAATCGGATATATCAAAATCAAACAAGCGTGGAAATTTAAATATATTGGGATAACCAAAGATGCCTTCAAAAAGCTAAGCAGAGTAATAAGAAATAGAAAAACTTCACGAGAAACAAAGAAAAGAATACTAAACTGTTATGTGATATCTGTCCTCCTGTATGACAGTGAGTGCTGGACGATCTCCTCAAAGATGAAGAAGAGACTTGAAGCAACAGAAATGTGGTTCAACAGAAGGATTCTGAGTATATCATGAATCGAACACATGAGCAACGACAAAGTTTTATTGAAAATGGAAACAAAAAGGAAACTTATATTTAGCATTAAGTGACAGTTGAAATTTCTAGGGTACATAATAAGGAAGGAGGGCTTGGAAAATCTGATACTCACAGGACAGATTGAAAGAAAGAAATGTGAGAGAAGAAACTATTAGCGTGGAACTTACGGTTCGGCTGTAAAATGATGAGACCTATCTGTCAATCTAGTACGGCGCTTAAATAAGTTGGAGTAACTAAGAAGAAAGCGTGTCAGAATAAATTGCCATGAAAGTATTTACAGAAAAAGCCCAAGTCGCTATGTTACGGCCTTGGGAAAGAGAACTTCTGTATTAAATTTCCTGGTCCTTTTCATGTTTTTTGTATTTCTTATTGTTTTTTTTAATTTTTTTTAAAAAGACAGCTGGATCGGGGTTGGTGGGAAAGACCATTGTTAATAAACATGCATTGTAAGCCAAAATCCAGTATTAGTAAAAGTATTTTTAAAAATTTCGTTATGCAACAAATCCTTGGGAAACAGTGGAGAGATAGCCAGCCAAAGTATATAAAATGAAAGAACAACTTTCAGAACGCTGCTACTCAAAATACAACGAATAATTCAACGAATAATTCATAATAACCTTGAATAATTCATAATAACCTTGAGAAGGATGTGCGGATTGCGTCGCGGTTATCGGGAGGCGTAAAGTTGCATTTGGCGAACTGAGTTCAACTTTTGTCCTTAGTTTGTGTTCGTTGTGCGAATAGTTTAATAAATAGCCGCTCTGAATGAGAAATCGGAGAGTCGAGCTCGAAATCCAGTCGGATTCACTATATTCACTTATGCGTAAATACCCCTGGCAATCCCTTTCTCCTCCAAGTTATGGGTTAAATAATAAAACTTGTATATAGAAAAAAATCATTATTATTCTAAAACACTGTTTATGCAATATTCACTTTAAAAATATTTTTACAATCCAAAATAGTTTTTAGCTTTAAAGAAGCCGTAAAATCAAATCAATCAATCAATTGTTATCTTGGAAAAGACATGAATAGGTGTCTTCTACCCTAATCTCTAGGTTATATAGCAGGGTAGACTGACCTCTCTGGCCTTGTGCAGCAGCAAATCTAGGTAGAAAAATCTGAATTCAAAAACGTGGGGAATCCAACGAGAAACTCCTCCACTACCTTTCCCAATAAATTCACAGATAATAATAATAATAAAAAAAGAATTTGATCTATGTCCTGTAAGAATATGACTTAAAAAAAATAAATTGTAATATTTCTCTGTCTTGATCACGGAAAGAATACACTTTCGCGGGAAGAGATTTATTTTAGCTTACAATGAAGAATTGCCTTACAAAGGTTACTAAACCTTATATTCCACATTGCCGGAACATTTTGATACGATAGAGACTTGAATTAAATTGAAATAATTCACAGATAATAAAGAAAAAGCATTTTTAGAGAACGATGTCAGCATATGACTTAAAAATATATAAATTGCAATATGGAGTTTGCTCTTTAAACGACTTAACAAATATTGTATTAGTATATATTTCTTTTACAAACGCCTGCATACTCTTGAACTTTTGTTAATAGACAATAACAGAGAACATACGACTTCACGAATTGACGAGGTTGTGTGTGTGTGTGTGTGTATGTGGTTGTGTGTGTGTGTGTATGTGGTTGTGTGTGTGTCTATATATGTGAGTATGTCTATATAAGTGTGAGTGTATAGGTTTGTGCTTGAAAGAAAAAGTTAGAGAATGCAGTTTGCCTGTGAGATTCGTGGCTTGTTATGCAAAGAAGAATACAGTTTCGCGGGAAGATATTTATTTTAGCTTACAATAAAGAATTGCACCACATTTTCATTACGTTTTGATACGACTGAAATAAATATGTCTTTTATATATATATATTATATATATATATATATATATATATATATATATATATATATGCGCCTCTCTCTCTCTCTCTCTCTATATATATATATATATATATATATATATATGTTTACTAGGCCTAGCTTCGTTTTGCCTACCATTGAACATCCAACTCCTTATACGGACGAAATGTGATATTCCCTGAACTGATGTAGGCGACATTTTTTCTTAATTATTTTTAAATTAGGAAAAAATAATTTAAACTTTTTCTTGCGTTCACAAGGATGTGCAGGTGGTGTAATGGTTAGCAGCTTGGAACAAATATTTGGCAAAGCAAGTTCGGATACTAGTCATTCATTTTTACGCAACTCTCTTTGGAAAATCCAATCACTTCTCCCCAACCCCCAGCCATGAGATAAGTAATAGGGCAGACTGGCTTCTTTAGCCTTGTTTGCTAATCAGTCTAGAAGCATTAAAACTGAATTCAAACCAGTCGTGTTAAAACATAAGAAAACGGCTGCACCGCTTTACGTCGTGAGGCAGTGACTCTATAATCCCCATGGGAGTATCGAGGTGATAAATGAGTGTTCTTATATGTAATTAGTTAAACAGAATATTTTCTACTTTTAAAAGAATTTCTGGGTGTAGTTCTTGAAATTCCATGATTTTTTTTATACGATCAAAACTTTTTGCATCATGTTTATTATTATTATTATTATTATTATTATTATTATTATTATTATTCGTGTACCTGTGCCGTCAAAATTGATGGTAATTATTAGAAAGTTTCAATGAAACAATGTATTGAGATTCAATAAAGCGGAGATAAATAATTCACAGCTCAAATAGACGCCAATGAACCATTTAATTAATTCCTTCCCTTTATATTTTTTAGGTGTTTAATCGTATCTATGATTCATTGATTACTCCTGGTATTATATAAATCACTTTTTGTTCAATATTTTTCTATGTTAAAAAAAAGTGTGTTTAAATTAACAGTGAAACAGAAATATCTCGGAAGAAAAAGATTAGTAACATAACGACAGAGACGACGATGACAAAGCGTATTTTAAGACCAAGTTAAAGCGACACGATCACTTAACAGACAACTGTGTCTGAATGCCTCACATGAAAGGCTTGAACAAATAAGACTGTAATTGAAGAAACGTAAAAGAAAAGGAATTGATTAATTAAACGGTTCATTTTGCTCGTGAACTAATTTTGTCTAAATATTTAACATCAAGAAGAGGCAGCTAAAGTTTCTGAGGCACGTAATGAAAAAGTTGGAGCTTAAAGAATTTGATACTCACAGGTTTAATAGAGGGAAAGAGAGACACGGGAAACAACGCATGACATACCTGGCGGGCTTGAGCAAGTGGATGACAGAACGTGGTCTGGAGGAGGTGGCAGGACGAAACTTACTGAGAGCTACAAAGGATAGGGGGAAGTGGAGAGCCACGATCGCCTACGTCCTGAAAGGACACGGCACATAAAACTAAAAGAAGTGAAGTAATCACTCTTAACTTTACTAATGCGAGTTGATTTAGCTTCCTTTTCGCCATAGGTGGTCCAGGAAATATATAAATTCATACAGATTAATAATGATTATGTTTCATTATTATTATTATTATTATTATTAAATTTGAGATTTTTATAAATTTAAGCACATTTTCTCTTTTCAGAAAACCTCAAACTTTTTCTCAGAATTCATGAAAAAATATCTAAAGCTGATTAAAAGATTTTGTTTATGATAACAGTTTTAATCTGAGTCCACGGATGTTTTGTGCCCATTCAGCAAAAATATTATTTGACAAATGGTTCATCAAGATAGTGTCGATTTTTATTATAGAGAGAACGAATTTGATCGTTAACGTTAACAGCCAATGGGGATTCTATTGCGAAAACTATTTTAATAGTGTAATCATAATCTGACATGACTATGACGACACTATTAAAATATTTTCTTTTGGCTTTGAGTTAAATCAAGTTCAGTTTCATTTCAATGCTGGAAATGATGATGATGATGATGATGATAATTAATAGAAAGCGTAGAAGAACGATTACAAATTGTTGTAAATCATTGCTACTGTTTTGCGCGTTCGATCCTCACTAGGTGCTGCACACTTGTGACCTTGTTTCGTAAATTTAAGCTCAACTTTGTAAATATTTCAGTAAGGTGCTTGTTGTAATGGATGATTGTCAATCATGACTTGCCGACCAATTTAATTTTTTTTAATCAGCTCATCTCAAGGCGATATACCAATAAGGCGCAATGGGTTACTGGAAGTGAAAGAGAATGAGAAGATTTAGAAGGAACAGGAAATCCAGTCTTAACCAGGAAAAACGGGATAGACATTTTATTCTGTTCGAAAGACCGGGGAGGAGTGTGAACCGGATGATAGACAAATCTACCTACTCCTATTGAAGAAAAAATAAAATAAAAGTATTAAATAAAATTTCAGAATTCAGAAGTATAGAGTTGAAATAGACTTTAGAAGGAACCGGAAACTCAATCCTAAACAGGAAACAAAGGCTAAACCTCTACTCCTGTTCAAAAAACCGAGAAGGATTATGAACCGTGCGATAGGCGACCCTATCTACAGCTGTTGAGGAAAAAATAGTATTTGAGAGTTATAGTGGGTTTCATATTCTCTTGCTGCTGCATACTGGTGGCCTTGTACCAGACAAAAGTAAATATGAAAAAGCTAATTTACAGCGCTACTTACGTATTTCAAACAGACACTAACGGTTAGAAAAGAAGATTTAGAATGTTGTGGAAAGATTGGCGGAGCACAATCTTCCCACAGCAGAAACAGTCTCCTCAATTTTTCTTGTGGCATTCGAAGTAAAATTTAGTAAATACCGAAAAATTAAAAGACAGATGAGTATAATAGTTGCAATGTTGCTATCAAAATAAGAAACTTTAGCTTTCAAAACAAAATTACTAACAATGACTAATCTAGCTTGCAAATCATTATTATTATCCAATCGTGTGTTGCATAAACTTCTAAAAAGATTTTTATACGGTTAGCTGATTATTGATGGAATTCTAAAGCAGTTGGAACAGCTGTAAAGATCCTATTACACAAATATTACTGCTGGTACTACTACTATTCCTACTACGAGAATACATCATATACTACTAATGTTACTACTAGTAGTAGTAATAGTAGTACACGCTGTATTCTCTCTGCACATCTTGGAATCATTGGTTTTGTCATGTCATTTACTACGTTTAGGTAATGGACAAATTGAGAAAAATGACGTTTGGTAGATGGTGTAGCACCATATATATTATAATATAAGAAACATCTGTTTGTTAACATGGAGGTAAATGATAATTAATGATAATTTTATTAGGATAAAGTGGCAACAAAGTCCCTAAGATTCAAGGGTGAAAGAATATGATAAAAAAGAAAAACGTTAACGATAGAAAGCGTTAAAAGATTAGGGATTAAGAAGACCAAAGATATTTAAATCATTGACCTTTCATTCAATTCCTCTATAAGATAATGTCTAGAAAAAACTAAAAAGAACTTCGCTCATGTATACGAATTCTAATAGGAAAACCCTAGGCCATGTTTAATCAATACGTAGTTTAAAATAATAACGTTTTAATATACATAATATATAATTGAAATTTTCTGGTACTATTACTTTTTGTATATATTAAATTTAGGTTAGTGTGTCACAAGGCTTAATGGCTAAGAGAGTGCATTCGCACTCAAAATCTTCTATTCTACCACCCTTATCTCGTCCTGGGTATGACGATAAACTACATCCGGCAACAAGGCCTCTGATCGTGAGGTTTTGAGGAGCGTGGAACACCTCCTAATTACTGTTGTTCCCACGTACACCAGTAGTAGCACCTGTTAGGGTCCTAGCTATGGGCAAAAAATTAACCTCCAAACTGGGCTCAAAACACTATGAAAGTATAAAAAACAGATGTTTTTTAGTAAAATAGAAGAAATATTTTTATATATATATATATATATATATATATATATATATATATATATATATATATATATATATTTACAGGAATCTATGCAAGAATTCTTGTCGGCATTAAATAACCCATTGAGATTGATATGCCGTAAAACAAAATAAGCCAAACCAAACTACACTTATCTCACAGAAGAAACGTTGACACCCTTTCTATTACTATGGCAAATGATCGGAGGAGTTAAATTCCTTAGTGCCACTCGCTCAGGCCTTCCCAGCTAGAACCCGGCACGCCTTGTTTACAGTGGCAAATCATCCTCATTCTCTTCGTGTTCCTTTGATAAGAAGCAAGTTCCACTCAGACAGCTTCCTCCTCAGAACTATTACTTTGTGGGACAAACTCCCGAGAGAATGCTTTCCCGAAAACTATAATCTTGGTCTCTTTAAGTACAGAGTCAACCAATATCTATGTCCTCATAATACTCTCTTATTTTCCCGATCTTTCTCCCTTAAAATTTCACTCAGTAAACGTCTACCTTGAGAAACTCGCGAGCCTTGTATTGAGTGAACTATCAGTAAAAAAAATATGAACATTTGATAAGGTACAATAAAAATTATTTGAAATACTAGCAGAGATTCATTTCCATAAAAAAGATATCCGGTTAATCCATAACATTTAAGAAGAATAAACAACCTGCATATGAATAGAGAAAAAGATCAGTGAAAACAGAAAAATAGAAAGTGAAAGAAAACAAAAATGTATTTTTCTCACCGGATTTATTTAACCCAGATACCGAAACGACATTAAAGCAACAAGAATGCCAACTAGGATTTATGATCGGTGGAATCATTTTAACATATGATATGCGGTTGACTATTGTTAACTTCTTCTTCTTCTTCTTCTTCTTCTTCTTCTTCGTCTTCTTCTTCTTCTTCTTCCTCGTCTTCTTCTTCTTCTTCTTCTTCTTCTTCTTCTTCTTCTTCTTCTTCTTCTTCTTCTTCTTCTTTCTTCTTCTTCTTCTTCTTCTTCTTCTTCTTCTTCTTCTTCTTCGTCTTCTTCTTCTTCTTCTTCTTCTTTGTCTTCTTCCTCGTCTTCTTCTTCTTTGTCTTCTTCTTCTTCTTTGTCTTCTTCTTCTTTGTCTTCTTCTTCCTCGTCTTCTTCTTCTTCTCTGTTTTCTTCTTCTTCTTTGTCTTCTTCTTCCTCGTCTTCTTCTTCTTTGTCT